CGCCTTTTCTCCACCAGAACTCAGTTTTTATACAATAAAAATACCATATTCGGAGTCAACGCCAAAAACTGAGTCGAATGATATACATTTTAAGATTTTTCGTTGATTTTCATTTTTTGGTAAAAGTCTCACTAATTTTTCGACGTGAAAATTCGAAAAAAAACAAAAGTAGTCGGAAAGGATGAAAAAATACACCGTTCGACTCAGTTTTTGGCGCTGACTCCGAATATGGTATTTTTATTGTATAAAAACTGAGTTCTGGTGGAGAAAAGGCGAATTATGTGCAGAATTCCGACGTTTTCGTTCTAATGAAATAAAAAAGTCGTTTTCATCATGTCACAAAATAACTAGATAGATTTGCAAAATTGTTTATGAACTATTTACCGGACGAGTCCATACTGGATCGGCCTTTGACTTCAACCTAGATCAGGTATCATTCTCATACTCAGTCTTTAATGCTGAATAAAAACACATATTTTCTTCTGCAAGTCGGTGAGCTCTATCCAGCTATGTACAAAAATGCAAAAATAAAAGTCTGCTGAATTTTCGAATTTCCGGCACCTTATCAAAGAAAAAATCTTATCTAATTGAAAAGATAAACGTCTGTCGAATGAAGATTAAAGAAACGAAGACATACGAACAATTGTGCGACTTTAATCAGATTAATTCCATATTTTGAGAACTTCATTATCCTCTCGGGCAAGTTTGCCCAACGGTATACTGTTCATGCACGCATCTATGGACCATATGTTTGTCTAACACATTCTTATTGTTCGAAATATCATGCATACGTAAAAAGAAAATTAATTTTTGCTGTTAAGAGATGAAATGATTCAATTGTTTTGATAGATGAAAAATTTAATTGATTTGTACGTGTGTATGTGATACCTCGTGACGTTGGTGAGTATAAACAGGCTGTAATCTTCACAAAAGCTATGAAAACTATAGAAAGAGAAGAATATCAATCATGAAGGATAAATCGATCTTTTTCAAGGTCAACGTAGTACACATGCAGAATACTGCTAAATATTATTTGCAGTCTAATCTTCATTGACGACTCACTCAGTTTCTTGACTTCAGTACTCGTATAAACTAAGAAGTAAATTGTTATTGAAGTGATACACGTTTTTAATCCCAGACTGAATCTCTGTACTGATAACAACCAGAACAGATTTACTGATATGAAAGAAGAAAGTACAAGACTGCTATAAAATACACATTGTTTAGATTTTATTCAAAAATCATTTGTTATATAGATTTACTGTTGCAGAAAACGGTAAAATTTAATCTGTTCTATAAACTGTACAATGGTTGCCTTAGACATCAATTCTTTAATAAGACATCAGATGGAAAACACCATAAAATTCCTAAGATCTGACTAAATTCTTATTAAATGCTTGAGCAATTTTTCTTAACTTCTTCTATCAGGATCTGATAAGGATCTTATAAAACTTAGACGTCTTGTAAGACTTTTATAAAATCCTTATCAGATTCTTATAGAAGAAGTTAAGAAAAATTCCTCGAGCATTTAATAAGAATTTGATAAGATCTTAGAAATTTCTTGGCGTTTTCTGTCTGATTTCTTACAGAAGAATTTAGTACGATTTGCATAAGATTATTATTAGATTTTCCAGAAAATTTTCTCTCTTCTAGCAAACTAAACTTGATCAACACTTATAAAATAAACTGCAGTCATTTATAGTCAAAGCAAGATGGTAATCCAAATTCGATCGTCATTCGAAGAAAAGCCATCGCTTTTTCCTCCGCATTCAAACGTCTATCGACATCAATTTCATCTGATATTTTCTACTTTAACTTCTAAATTATGTAGGATATGATTAATCTGTTTGTGAGTGGAAAGTAGATAAAATACCATTCACCTTTTAATTTGCACTTTGTACAAAAACAGACAAATAATTCTTTTGCATGATCCTAGACAACAGTCAAGGAACTATTTTTTGTCCATATGTTCTACAAATATGCCGTCGAGATTGTATTGATTAAACTCTAATAGAGCCGATGGTCGTTCATTGATGCACGTAATACACTTATTTTAAGTAGCCGAAATGTTCCATTTCGTTTTTTGTCACCAATATTTATCTGTCATTATATTGTTAGAAAAATCATCACAATACGAAACCTTATGTTTGTTGTCATCATTAATAATAATAAATGAAATGGACAACAGACACGAGTGCCGTTTTCTTTCATCTATTATGTTTAAATAGAGAGTGAAAGCTTAATAATAACAATAGCAATTGACTCTTAAATAATTTGTTTAACACAGATCATTTTACTTTGGATAATACATGATACAAACATACGGGTGACTATATCAGTTTAAAGTTAAAAGTAATTGAATTAACTGTCAAAAGGTTCTATAGGAGAACAAATTATTCCATTCATTCAGATAGTTCTACAATAGACAAATATATTTTGAATTAGTTTTGTATCTAAAACAGTTCATATAAAATGATTTACAAGGTGTGATGAAAATCTATAATTATTGTAACAATAAACTATCGTTAAATAAACCAAGAGCAGAACATATTTTTTCTGAATTATCTTCACCCAAAAAACGAGAAAATCAAATTGATTGAAGTAGAAGACTAGTTTCCAGAACTTTGCAAATAAAAATGTTTCTGCATATTGACAACAAGTTCTGTTTAACTAAAGTGATGCACATTTACCTATACAACTTCTATTTATAATAATAATTACAGTATTTAGTCGCTGCAGGGTGATTATATCATTTATAATCTTCATCAAATTTTTTTTACGTTATTTAGTGTCAAATGTATATTATCTCTCATGTATATTCAAAAATGTTTTTTATTGTTTTACATATTTTAACACAAAAAAGAAAAAAAATAATAAGAACATGATCGACTAATAAATAGACCAATGTTTTCTTCTTCTTTCTCTATGACGATATCCCGTGGCTGTATGCTTTTCTTTTCTGGAATATGTGTCAAATGATTGAAACGAAAATAATAACGAAATTGTTCGTGTTGTTTAATATTAATATACTATAAGATTGTTAACTATGATCACTTATCAAATTATGGACAATAATAATCCAATTTTGAAAAATGGTGTAATGTACTTGATATTGTCGAGTAATCAGACAAGATTTTCTGATTCGATTATTATTTTAAAAAGAAAATTTCGTGATATCAAGTACTATTCAGATGGTTTTTTTTATTTAGATTTTGATGAGTCTAACATGCGAGAATAATGAATTTGAAAAATCAAAAGTTATCAGAAAAATCTACTTTATCTGATAAAGTATTACCTATAGTAGATGAGGACATGAAAAATGTATAAGTTTTTTTCTAATAAGAACTATGTTTCGGTACTCATATTTGACCATATAGAGATGTCTTATACATTTTAAAACTGTTTATATTGTTGTTGTTGTCTACCTTTGTATCTTAATAAATATTTATTAGTGTTCTTTTAAAAAAGTCGAAGAGAAGTATGGTTTGTACAAATATGAATACTTGTTGGCGTCATATAATTCAAGTTTCAAACATCTTCACGCAATTATATTAAGAATTGAGCGGCTTATGTTTCTTTTTTTCTGATATATCTTCTCTTTTTTAAAACGTTTAAAATTTCTAAATAAAATATATGCACTAAACGAGACGTAAAGAATAAGACGAGCATTTTTACATTAGAAAAAGTGAACATTACGTTTCTATTTTTGTTCTAGAACCGAGAATATGAGCTGATTCTATGTTTTTAGATTGATTTGTTAATTTTAAGACATACTTCTACACGTTCCACTGACTTTGCTATAAAATTTGGGACCATCTGTGATGATCGAATCATCAATGCGTACAAATGTTTTTTTTTTATGACTATCGTTCAAATGTCAAAGTGCTATTTCTTTTGAGATATGACCGCTCTATAAATCTACCTATCAATGATTTTTGATTATATCCGGAACATTTTCTCTTCCGTTCGACACATGTCTAAACACCTTCAAGGTGAATGACAACAGATGACACACACACACACTCTTAAAAAAGAACATTGGTAAATGAACTCAAAGAGAAACCAAATAATTATTGAAATTGACTCAATCTATCGATGTGTTACATCCTTTCTATCGGTTGTACTATGAAGAAGAAAGAAATCAAATGAAACAATATTGACTTTGACAACATTGTAAAACAAGTAATGATTGAACAAAACTATCTAAGACTCAAAAATTAATTTAGAACATACAGTATTTCTCGTTATTATTGAAATAAAAACAATACCGTTTGTTTAAAAGTATTTCAAATCATTCAAATATCAATAGACTCAATAATATTGGTTTGATCAATGAAAGAAAGTTCAGAAGTCATAATTCTGAAAATTACAATATGATCACTTTTCTCTACAGAATAAATTTATTAGAGACATACTAAAATTCATTTTGTTCTACTCTATCCCATTTTGAATCGTAGTTAACTATAAATGACCATATCAGTTTTACTAATCAATTTGTTTCAAGTATATGTTTTTTTTACTTATCAGTTTATAACAACATATATGTACAAAACTTTCATAACAATAAAACCTATACAATATATATTTAACATTTTGTTTTGAAAAATAATTTCAATGAACAGATAACAAATGCTTAGAGTGAGTAGTCTTCAAGACTTCATTCGATTTATGAAATCGACTATAAACTATATACAAATTTATTCACTGTTTCGAAAAACCGGGAGATAATATTTTATTCATAAAACTACTAAACAAGAGATGCAACATGATTTGGTAAAAGTTTAATGTTATAGTTTATTTTTGGAGATAATTGTTGTTTCTCATTTGATGATTTTAAATCTGATTCATACGACGATTCTAATTTAGACATTTTTTGAAATATTTCCGTTGTTAATGTTAAATTTACATTTTTCTTTTCACATATTTTTTCTTCCATTATGTTAGATTTTAATAAATTTGTTGCCCAAATTTGTGATGTACCAAGTTTTTCAATATCGACATTGAGAGTAGGATAATGATATTGTTGATGTTGTGTTGCTCGCTGTTTTCGTCGATAGTAATAAAAGATGATACTACATCCCATTAAGGTAATTGGTACAGGAATAATACAAAGGATGATGGATAATAAACTGAAACGATTTTGATGAAACTTCGACGGACGAATAAGAGTTAAATCAATTTCACAATAGAGACCAATATATTTCGATGAACAAGTACATTGAAAACCTTTGGTAGGAAAAGATGAACATATACCACCGTTACGACATGGATGTGATGTTTCACAATAATCAACTGGTTGGCGACAATCGGCACCTAAATAATATAAAACATCCGAATTAGTTTACCTAGTTAAAACCATGTAGAAAATCACTTTTCTTGCAAGTCTAATCGATATTCACTCGTTCTTCTCAATATTATTATGTAATAAAAAAGTTAATTTAGCTTACCTTGCCATCCGTCAACACATGAGCATGTTGGTTTTGAATTATCATCTTGTTTCACCAGACATGTACCACCGTTGTAACATTGATGTTTTAAACAGAGTTCACCGAACGCTGCCACAGAAGATGAGTCTCTTTCACATAAAATTCCTTGAAATCCATGGGGACAAATGCATTGAAAGTTAGTCGAAGAATTGCATACACCCCCATTTTGACAATTTAATGGACAACTTTGTTGCAATTGTCCGTCTCGTTCATCACATAAAATTCCTTGAAATCCTTTTGCACAAATACATCGATATGACTGATGTTCTTGAATACACGTGCCTTGATTTTGACATAAATTATTTTGACAAATGGTCGCCGAAGATAGCAAATATGTTTCACAATGTTCACCGGTGAAATACGGACGACAAATACATTTATATGCCCCATTGGCTGTCGTTGTACATTCACCATCGTGTAAACAGGGACGAGAAGAGCAGGTCTTTGATACTGGAAGAAAAAATAATAGAAATGCATAGGTAAATTGCTCAACTCTTTTCCCTATACAAGTGTCCAGATAATACTTACAATTATTACAAAACGGACCAGTCCATCCTTCGTGACACACACACGTAAACGGCGCTGTACAATAACCATTTGCACATCCGGGATACACTGCACATTGATTACATTTTGAACCGCGCCATCCAGCACGACATTTACATTCACCTGGTTGAGTGCAATAACCATTTTCAAATGAACAGTCGGTTGAACATATAGCTAGAAAAAAGTTTTTTTTTAAAAACTGACTCGTTTAGAAACAAACAGCCTTATCAGACAGTCACAAATATGATAGCCAAGAAGATGGATGACCGTCATCTAAGTGTCAACTAATTAACAGAATATACTTAATTGACCGTGAAAAAATATCCAACTGTTGTATAAACGCTCATTATGTCTAAAAATGTGTAAACGAATTTTCAGATTTTTTTTATTCTAGACATTTCTATATGAATTCAATGGGTATTTGGTAACTTTTTCACTTTAATTTTCAGTTCATAGATTTAACTGTGTCTATAATATGGTTATATTGGAATAGTTTGTAGACAATAGTCAAACAATTGCATTCACCTGTCTCATCTGTGGAAATTCACATCATTTATTTATTTCTCTTAAGTGAATTTCAGCTGCTCTCTCCTTTTACTGATGACAAAAGAGAGAAATTAATCTATTTTAAAATTAAGTTTCTTATTTCTTACCTCTTTGACAATTGATGCCTTGCCAACCTTGTATACATTGTCTATCACCCTCTTTTGTACATGTATAATGTCCATAATCATCATCACGTTCACGACAATGTTTTGAACATTGATCACCATAAAAATGTTGCTCACATTCAACACGATAATGATATTCTAGCTCATGTTCAAATGAATCGGATGACGATGATTCAGACCACGATGAACCAACATGAAGTGATGAACGCATTAACTTTGAAAATATTAATTCACGATTACTACCTGGAAATGTAATACCATCATACGTTTTATCATTAAACAAATCAATTTGTAGAACAAAATCACTCTAAAAGAAATAGATAATTTATACTTCGAAATAGAAATCACTTAATTACTTACCATCCAACTAAAGTTAAAAGGTAATTGAAATATATTTGGTCGTCCCGTGGGTGTCTGTGTAAAATCTAAATTGTTTCCACCGAGTACAGGTGTTTCATGAAAACCGAATGTACAAGAATCGGGCGATAGAAGAGCACTTGAAGAATTCTTTGTTGTTGTTGAACTACTACTGATATCATCCAATGTGGGATTTATATAACGTAAACATAGGCGAATAAATGTTTTGCACGGTTGTAAACATGTGAAAAATAAATTTGGACCAGAACAACAGCTACCATTTACATTTAAACCTTTCGGATTTTGAAAGCGTGTTAATTGTAATTCAAATTTACCACTGGCAGATACGTTCTAAAATGAAAAATAATATTTTGTTAAAAAATTCATATTTTCACGTAAATAATATCGATCAAATTCGGTCAGTCTTCAGTTATTTTTGAAAAGTCAGGTCTTTTTAGAAGAGCAGCATAATATCTTTAACTAGAAAACAAAATCGTCTACTTACAGAAACGAATACGATCATGATTAAAAGTATCAAGTTCATTACATGATTCATGTTTTTGAAAATAACGAAGTAGAAGTTATATGTTTAGAAGAGTGAAGAGAATAGAATGAGATGTGTGTGATTACTTTCCCTCTTATATATACATACATACATATATATAGTCATTGAACAGAAGTTTAATTGTATTGGTTAAACATACACCTTCTTTTTTTTTTTTTCAATCCTTTCAGACATCAAAAATTAGTACGTCTCGAATAGAAATTAACACCTATTTTTCTTTGAATAATAACCGAAACGAATAATATTTGCTCAAAACATATCGATAATAATGATCATGATGATATTGTTTAAGGCAGTTATCTAACATCAATGTGAGATGTGATCCCAAATTAGTATCTTGTCTGATAGGATAATAATCGGACCTGATCTTACACAAACAGCTATATCTGTAGAAAAAATTAGGAATAAAAATTCGTCAACTATATTTTATTTCAGTGAAAAAGTATCATCATTAGATCACAAGAAATCTCTTATCAAAGAATCGGAAAGAGTTTGGTAGATGGTCTAAGAATAGAGTGACAAATAAAGCATTTGAATACTATTGTTACTAAAACAATCGATAAACTCTCAATTCATGTTTGATTAACAAGTTATGAACTGGAATATTTGAAATATCTTTTTAATAATTCAGTCTACCGCATTATGTTGAAAAGAGCAGTTGTATTCAACTTAAAAAATGTCACACATGCGGTACATTTGATTAAATTAACGATTATTTTTAGGCCAAAATAAAGGGTGGACTTCTTCCTCATTAATGAATAAATAGAAAAGAGTGATCATTTGTCAGAGAATACAGTCGAACGCTGATGATTATTAATATACTGAGAGATCAAAAGACATGTGATAAACTTAAGAAAATAGACATTTTTCACTCATTACTCGTCAAAAAAAGAAAAAGCGATGAGTTTAGTAATAGTTACGACTTAAGCAATCCATTAACATGAGCTACAAACTGTCTTAATGATACTCTAGGTTTTCTGTTAATTTTTGTTTCAGTACTACATACGATTTATCGACCAGACGTATGAAGTATCGAATTTAATAGAAAACTGAATCTCGTATGCATATTTCTCAAAATTTTGTAGGCTAATTACTTCTCGTGCATTTTTCTTCTAGGAAACTGTTCACCTTGATGTTTTAGTTGTAACTCACATTCTTAACAAGTTTTATCAATCAAGAAATTGAAATAGTCAACATCGTTTAGCGTTTTGAATATTACCACATCACATGTTTTGATGAACGTAATCCATCATTACTGTACAGACTAATTTGTGCCATACTGCGGACATAAATTCTTTTTTTTGATCTTGTTATCGATAAGAATATATTTGTCAAAGATGGCATATTTTCAGATTTCACTGTTCTATATAACGCTGCATGTGGCAGAACAATAGATATCATCACGGGTAATTTAGTCATTGAATAAAAATATGATAATTTAAGCGAATACATATCATATGCACACGTATCTAGCAAAAAGTTAATAATTAATAAAATAACTCTGTATCAAGGAAAGTTAAGATAAAAATTTGAACGGTCATTCATTAAATTTGATAGCAGGTGATCGTGGTCGTAAAATATTCGATCGTACAACGAAAACCGTCCTATGCAAGAAATATTTCCTTTTTTTATATAAGTTCCTTTCTTTAGTCTCAGTCACTGTTTATCTACTAAATTTATGTAATATTACGTGTATTTAGTATACCAATCGATAATGTATTCATTCGAGTAAAATCAAAGTAGATTAACATAATTCATTGAAAAAACAATGTGAATTTATCATGGCACTATGTCTCGTCTGAGTACATCCGCATTAATTAACAGAAAAACTCATCACATTATGAAATAGGCACTTGAAGTTGTCTAATCGTGTCTCATCTCTCTCCCTCTCTGTAATGTATCACATTCTTGTTTCTATTCTCGTTTTGATCATTGAGGAATAATGAAGAATGTGGTTTAATCAAATTATATTCACATTCTTGAGTTAAATATATATCTGTAGTGAATGTTACAGTGAAAATCTTTTAAACAGAATATTTCATGATTCACTATGAATTACACTAATGTAACTTGAGTAAAATATTTCATTGTCTATTTATACATTAAACAACACTACTGTAGATACTGAATTTGAAATAAGCTTAGAAAATATTCAAACATAACATAGAGTATTTTTGGACGACAGACGATGATGGAATGCATATTGAAAAGTAATAGTTTTTTGAGACTAACGAGGTAACTTCCCCAAATGTGAAATCGCTTTTGAGTTAAAACCTAGTGGGTTATAGGTAATCAACTGTGATGATTCCGAATATCACCATGCCGTTTGCTGCTAGGCCTTCAAAGACCCTTTTTGTGGAAAATCAGTTTTTCAGAAACTCTAAAAAATAACCCAAATCTTTCTTAATGAGGCATGATTATAGCCCGCAAAGTTCTGATTAAAATGAGAAGTCTCCCAGCTCTACATGACCTTTCTTTGCAAAGTAATAGATCTTACAAGAAAAGCCCTAAATGTTCATTGTCAGCTCAAAGCTACAGAAATAAGAAGAAATTAATTTAGGGCTTTTCTTGTAAGATCTATTACTTTGCAAAGAAAGGTCATGTAGAGCTGAGAGACGTCTCATTTTAATCGAAAATTTGCGGGCTACAGTCATGCCTCATTAAGAAAGATTTGGGTTATTTTTTAGAGTTTCTGAAAAACTGATTTTCCACAAAACGGGTCTTTGAAGGCCTAGCGGCAAACGGCATGATGATATTCGGAATCATCACAGTTGATTATCTATAACCCACTAGGTTTTAACTCAAAAGCGATTTTACACTTGAGGAAGTTACGTCGTAAGTTCTGCTATCATAAGAGCGTCAGATCAAAATAGTCGTCTCTTCTGGAAGATCTTCAATTAAATTTTGCAACACACAAATATTCTTCATAATTGCTATTTAATTAATTTTGGGAAATTAAGATTTTAACATATAAAATGTTTATAGATGGATGTGTAATGTTGATTGACGTATTTAAATTACCATGAGTTGCCTATGTAGCATGTACAGATTTAGAAAAGTTCAGCAATTTTTTGAAAAGGAGAGAAAGTATGCCATTTTCTGAAATTCAGCTTCAAAATCCTACCTACGCTGAGAGATATTTTCAAAAAGTGTTCTTCTGGTGGCCATTTCAGAAGTGACCTTTCTGAAAAGTGTTCAGCGGTTCCTAAGAAGAGCAGTTTTAGGCATACTTTTATTTTAGGAGTGTAACAAAAGGTAGATCTGCATTAGATTGTAATGTAAACGATCAAAAAACACCATAAATAAAACCGGTGGTACTTATATGAATTTTCTAATTGATCAAACAATTACTCAACGTTGCTCTTCAATCGCGTCATACCAGTGATACATAAGAATTCAGTCGCGGTTGTTCAAAATGCACTTGAAGAGATATTAAACAACTTAAATAAGTTAACCAATTATACGCATGCAATAGATTTTAATTTACATTCCATACGTCTTCCTTTTATAAGAAACGCTACAGTTTGACGAAATGTGTCGTTGTTGGTAATGTCCTTCTTACACTTCCACACTGTGCCATTCTAACTTTCAAGTGACTTTTCTCTCTTACTCACAACTAAATTAGTTCATTAACACGTTGTCTGTTTCTCATGTGTTTATTATTATTAAATACAGTTAAGTTCAATTCGAAGGCACTGGAGCTGCGTATATAGGGTTTGTCCACCTAAAAGTCAACTTTTACGTAAGTCCGCAACGTTTTGTGAAAGTCGTAGCTCTTTAGCCGAGCAACGTACACAGTTGGAGAGCATCTTATTTTGAAGCTTAAAGATTCTTTTTTCAAATGGTAATTAAGCAAAGTCTAGCAGTTGACCACTATCCGTTCCAAAATACAAGAGCATCGGTTGCGTTTTGAATACCTTTTGATAGGTAATAGATAGAGAGGTGCGGTTTTCAGTTTTAGAAACTAGAGACCTGAGCCCGTGTTTCTATAAGCAGAAGCGAGTTTCGGAAAAAATCTTCAAGTTGGTTTTTGAGATCTTTGGAGAACCAAATCAGAACTCCCGAAAGTCTCATAGAAATGTAGTCGTTTTTTACATGGGTATGTAGCTACAAGTGTCCTCTAAAAAATGGGAGTCAAGCGAGACCTAGATTTTCTACGGCTCTGGCGTAGCACCGAATTTCCTACGAATCCCAGGACTGGCACCTGGTAACTCTTCGTAGCCTTGAAAGCCAATGGACTATAGATAATCGATCATGCTGAGTCTCGTGGCAATATTTGCTTTTAGAAAAAGTTTGAAAACTATCGAAAAAGGGAGTTTTACGAAAACTAGGGCTTTCAGACTGTTTTAACCTAATATTAAAAAATTAACTAATAAACCAAAAAACAACAGAACGTGTTCAAAAGTTCAGGATATAATCAATTCTGTCCGCTAAACGTGATTATAAGATCGAAAAAATCGAAAAATCATATTTTTATTAATGGCTTTTCCAGAAAAACTTTCGGGAAGCATTAGAGTTCTATAAAATCTCTTTCTGGCTCTCCTGTAAATAGAATACAGAGTAGCCTAAATGCTTTACATGCCGAAGTTTTGAACACGTTCTGATGTATTTTGAGTGAATAGTGAATTTTTTAATATTAGGTGAAAACAGTCTGAAAGCTCTAGTTTTCGTAAAACTCCCTTTTTCGATAGTCTTTTAAACTTTTTCTAAAAGCAAATATTGCCACGAGACTCAGCATGATCGATTATCTATAGTCCATTGGCTTTCAAGGCTACGAAGAGCTTAATTACCATTTGAAAGAAAAATCTTTAAGCTTCAAAATAAGATGTTCTCCAGTTCTGTACATTGCTCGATTCAAGAGCTATGAATTTTATAAAACGTTACGGACTTACATTTTTTGGCTGCTGGTACGTGTGGACAGGTCGTATGGTAGAAGTGAAATAGTTGAGATAAACCTTTGAAACGAACAATTGTCGTATAGTTTATGAGTGATACATTGTAAAAAACAATCTTGATTAGGCTTCAGTCTATTAAATCGTGCTTTCTATGACGGCTTATAATCTGCAAACTTCATATGTAGCATCAGTATTTTGTACAAGGCGGACAAATCGTATATTTTCGTTCTCAACAATTCGACTGACTATTTTACAATTACTATGAATGTCAAGAGAAAATAATAAAGAGTCTTTTGTCGTGCAGGTTGTTCTAGAAGTAACGAGTGAGCTAGAGGAAATTGCCGACTTTTGCCAAGAATTTTTTTCAAGCTAAACTTGCTGAAAAAGTTTCGCTGTGATACTAAAAGATAAGAAATTTTGTATAGATTTTAATCTCGTGTTCTTTTCAAAAAGTTGCTTTGCGCAGCACTTAGTTAGATTAAAATGCAATTTTTAGCTCTTTAATAATAGTTTCGTTGTACAATCCGAGGACGATACTAAAAAGTAGATTAAACTTTTAAGTTTTCCTATCGCAAAACGAAACTTTCAGAGTGTGTTGTGATAATGGAAATCACCTAAAATATATGTCCTTTTACCATCCAGGCAGCCATTCTTATCTTACACTCATCCACGTAAACCCGTTAATTCCAATATTTGTTATCAAAACGGATCACTTTGTGGAAAGAAAGATATTTTATACACTTTAAAACTGTACATGTTTAGGCGTACAAAAACATAATTTTTTGAGATTAAACTTTTGAGAAGAACTTCAATAGAAGTACCATGACATTGATCCGAGATGTCTCTTCGCTATTTTATCTTTTACAAACAAACACAAATAAGTATATAAGAACGAATAAACTATTAGATAAACCGAAATATTCTTTACTTTTTATCACTAGAAACTAAATGCAACCAGTTAAAAAATTAGCTTAAATCTTTCTGACATTACCTTTGAGCAATGAGCAATTTAAATTTTTGGGGCTTCCAGTACTTTAAGTGTTACAAAAAATGAGCAAATGCTTATATTGAACAGAACACAAGATTAAGATCTATATAAAATTTCTTATCGTTTGGTATCACAGCGAAACGTTTAGAGCAATTTTAGCTTGACAAAAAAAACTCATCACAACAGCCAGCCATTTAATCCGAACATCCATTCGATGTCGAAGCAAGAGAAATGAATATTTTCTTCATAACAAAACTGCACGAGACCCAATCTGATCTAAAAATACATTTTATTTAAATTGAAACTTTATTGGAATATGAAAGCACGGACATTAAATTTCATTAAATTATCTGACAAAAAAACACTAGAATCTAATAATCGTAATTATTCTTCTTCATCATCCTCGTCACTAATATCCACTAATTTTATTTTCCAACAGAGTTCATCAGTCTCATCTTGATTTTCTTCTAATTTGTCTAAATTTAAATTCATTTGCTTTTTTTTATACTGAATATTCTCAATCGTTTCACCTAATGATATCAACCATTTCTGATGGCATTGCGAAGATTGTAACCTATAACAGAGAGGTCACAAATGAAGCCAATGACGGTAAAGATCAAACAAACAATAATATTGATCCTTATTCTTCTAATACAATGGAGTAGTTCATGGGTAATAGTAAAACATGAAGACACCCACAGATAACCAAAATGTCTGTGTAGTTATTTTTGATTGTATGTGGATGTCTTCATGTTTTACTATTATCCAGTAGTTAGTTCATTAACTAAAATTTGGCAAAAATTTTCAACATAAGTAATTACAATATTTTATGAAAATTGAATGTCACAGCGAGGAAAAACTGAGATAAAGTAGAAATGGTCAAATATTTGACCTTATTTATGAAAAATACATCTGTCTATAGTCAAAGTAGTTTCTCCTAGAAATGACACTCTATAGTAAATAAGAGAAACATGGTAATTCTTAAGTTTTATGCAGATAGTGTTTTTTCTAGAGTACTTTGATTCGGGTGAAGATTGCTTTTACTTACCATAAACAATAATCATCAATAAATAAATCATTCAACAGATATCTTCGTTCTTCATCTAAGAATAATCGTCTAATTTCTAATAAACATTTTAATATTAACTTTTTACCCATTTTTAGGATATATGATACATCACATAAACATTTTAATGATAAATCAAATGAACGATAGAGTGGATAGATTAGTGAACGTCTAAGACAAGAGAGTAAACAGTCGTTTAAATCGTTAAATATTGAATCGAACCATGATAATTGTGAAGATAATTTTTGAAGATTCCAAGGTGATTCAATACAATTTTCACCCATAGTTATTCGTTTATTGTACGAATAAGAGAATAGTAAATCAACTAAACCTAGATTAAGACATAGAAACTAATAGTTACTGTTTGTACCATATTATGACTCAAACTAAAAGTTGTGTTTTATTAAAAATATGAATAATTAAATCCAAAAACATTTTCTGAATATTTATTCTTCAAAACAATCATCGTCAATCGTAGATAATTTTTTCTTAATGTTTACAGTATCATTGTTAGCTACATACCTAAGTATAATGAAATATTGTTGTTTGTCTCTATTAGCAATTTTTTGTGTGGTAAATTTTTGAGATCATCTTTATCTTGTTCTGTAAAATGTTTATCATACTGTGGTTTATAATCGATTAAATCTTGTATTGTAGCTTGATTTTCTTCGTCAAATAAATCAAATAAATAATGATCAGGATTAAAATCTTTTTGTTCCATTTCATATCGTTTTAGACGAATGTCATTTTGACTTAAAATCTCTGGTATCTTATTATCAAATATTAACAAATATTCAGGATCAAATTTTGAAAATATTTCCGAGTAAGAAAGATTAAAACCATAATGATTAGGAACAAGTTGAATTGATGAGGACTCTTCAACAGAATCTGAAAATAAAGAATAAACATGATCACACTCATCGACAATTGAAACTATTCATTTTACCTAATTTCTCTTCTAATAAAGACCACATTGGTTCATCATCCTCTTCTTCATCTTCCTGCACACTTTCAACAGTTTCAACTTTTGCGATTTTATTTGTTATCTTCTTATCTTTATATAATAAGTTTGTTAACATATCGAGATCATTGAAATATTCACCCATTACCATTTTCTTGTACAGAAACGTAAATGTACTATTTTCAACATCATAAGTATAGTTTTGTTCATCTTTCACCTTCCCTGGTAGATATAAATGTAAATAATAGGGTTTCAAATAGAAGTAGAATTCATTATCCGATATTATATCACATTCGACATCAGTTAAATGAGCATACGGACAACAAATCATAATTTGCAGACAGTCATTTGTCTGACTCAATTCAAAACGCGGTGTGAGCATCTAAAACAGATACACAAAATGTACATTTTTTCTTATGACTCTAGTGTGGTGGGAATGTAATGAAACTAATTTTTGTCTCAGATAAGAACGCAGTGGTATTCTAGGATAGTCAACTTTGGGCCTGTCTAAAAACAAATTGCAAAAACAAGTTGGCTATTCTGAAAAAGCAATCTTCGCCAAGATAGTTGGCATTGAAAAGCAGAATGACACAGAAGGTTGGTTGTTGTATCGTTTGAACAAGCGTGAATTTGTATATTTTGTGAGTCCTATACCCTCATTTATAAATTTGAGAAATTCTTTCTTTGTGGCAACAGTAGAAACTGACTCATCCTTCCATATGATATGGTGAAAAATTTCCCGCATTTTAAAAAGCTTTTTCGACCTCACTTAGAACGAGTTTGATTTTAAAGAGCTTGTTGAGTTACAAAAGAAAGTCTTTTTTGACTTCACAGCCAATGCGGAGACCAAGAGATTTTCAATAACCTTTACTCTCCCAGAAAATTCATCAGATTTGACCAGAGCTAGGCAACTCAGTTCCAGAGTTGAGCGTCTTTTTTTGTGTAGTTGGAATTGAGTTGCGTTTTAAACGACAGGAGCTGAGTTGATGCCAGATTTTGTCAACAACAACTCCGAAACTTCAAAATTTCTTCAACTCTGGCTATATCAACTCCTGTGAAGCAGAATCAGGTTTTTTGTTTCGATCACATCGTAGTAGTATGACCAAAAATATGCTTTTAAAATTAACATTGTTGAAATGTAATTCTGATTTATTATAATAACCTTTTTTGTGCATACTATTTAAATTATAAAAGAAAACATGACCGTTATGCGGACTACTTAAAAAACAAGAGAGAAAAAGAGCGAATAGATTTTAACTTCGAGTTGAAGCGGAGTTGGAGTTGCCCACCTCTGGATTTGGCACCACTCTACATGTGTGTAGTACTCCGACGAATTGTAAAACATATTCTCTCTTTTTTCGGAAAAGCCTTGAAGTTTTATATTAGTGATTCATAAACTATATTCTCTAAAATTTTGAAAAATGTTCCATGCAAGGTCCAGCGATAAACTTTAATTTTTGTAAAACACGCTTTTCGGTAGATTTTTCAAATTTTTCTACCAGGAAGGCGTACCAGGCGCTGTATCAGATTTCCCAAATCAGGCACCCGGTAACTATTGGTAACCTTGGGGACGAATGATCGACCATGCTGAGTCTCATGGCAACATTTGTTTTTAGAAAAATTTGAAAAATCCAGAAAAGCGTGTTTTACGAAAATTAAAGTTTCCGGGCTGTCACCAATTCTCTGCTACGTAAAAGAACTAACGTTAGATATGATGTTTTTAGATTTTTTTTTCTGTCAATAGGAAGAGGATTTTATAATGTACATGAAAAGGTTCAATTATCAATGATCTAATTGTTAATTTAGGCGGTAGCTGAATCATTCTACTAATTTTCATGCACAAAACTGCCTTTAAAGTACTCTGTCTTTATTATATGCACATTATCCGTTCAAAATACTCTTTTCTTTCCCAATTTTCACATATGTGGTAGATTATAGGATTTTGAACAATTTTGTCATTTACTATAACATCGAAATCGGCTTGTGAGAGACGGTGAGGATTTTTTTCTATCTATCCGTGTGCTTTACACGGGATTATCAGAATTACCCCAAAGAAGAAAAATGAAAAAAATGACTATCTTTTACTTTTCGTAATTTCTCATTAACTAATTTAGATCAAGTCCAAATGACTGACAATTCATATGAGAGATAGAGCAGAAAATCCTCTACAAGATAGTGTAATTTTAAGTCAGTTTACTCCAAGTTTCCTGTTGAAACTAAATGGTTTAAGTTCATTCCAGCTATTTTGGTTGTAGTTATCACAATTACCCCAAATGGAGGAATTATGATAATTCTAAAGCTATTCACTGGAAATTCATTAGAATTAATTAATATGAACGAATTTTAGGGAAATTTTTACACCAGTAGATAACTAAAAGTCGGCTCTATCCACCTGCATAATACTGATTTTCTCCGGTGAAAGATGACTTTAAATATGCTCAAATATCTGAAAAGTTTTATGTGATTATCAGAATTCCCTCATGTGACTCCATTTTTCAAAAGTATACAGCATCATTCTACTCGAAAAATTTTCATTATTAAAAACATTGCTCTTAGATGATCGAAATTAGCAGGGTCAATTACCTTGGACGGAATGGAATCTCATTGGCGTACCAACATCTTGTAGATTGTAGGGTATGCCTCAGATTTTAAAAATGCCTCGCACTTTCTTGTCTCATCCACGTAGGCATACTGTTTTCGTTTGTTTTTCCCATTAATTGACTTTGGTCTGGGATCTTATTCCCTTGACTTTAGTCTACGGCATTACAAAATACTTTTGGGTTGGCCATGACCAAAACGCGTACACTCGTACAGTGTACTCGTATAGTCGTACACTTTTTATTCGTCAGTTAGGCCAATCATCGTCATTTCGAACTTGATTAAATCAGTTACGCCGATCAAGTTCGAAATGATGATGATTGGTCTAACTGACGAATAAAAAGTGTACGACTATACGAGTGCCACAAGTCGACAATCTTGGGATCATTTCTGACAGAATCTTGATTTCAGGTCAATCTTATCAGATTCTGATCCTATACAATCAATAATAAGATTCAGATTAGAATGACCTGATCTGAAAAATTTTTCAAGATTCATGGTCACTGATTCTTGGTAAGAAATCAAGATCAGTCCATTCGGTCTGAATCAGGAGATTGTTTGAAAAACACTGATATCTCAGTAACGGCTTCTGGCTAGAGAACTCTGAATATACATTCTAAAAAGTCTTGATATCAGCTATAATATGTACTAGAAAAAGTCCCGCAAAAATGAGTCTCTTTTTTAATTTCAGGTGTATTGGCGAGTACTCAACGGGCTTTTGATTGTACGAGCCATGGTCGTATGACTACACACCATCAGATTCTGACTGAAAATCCGAAAAATGGCTTTCTCAGGAAGAAAGTACTGAAATCAAGATTCCGTCAGAAATGATCTCAAGATTGTCGACTTGTGTACACTGTACGAGTGTACTCGTTTGGGTCATGGCCTTTTGCATTCTCAGAAGTCGAGGATTTTGAGGCACTTTCTGTCACATTCTGATTTCAGGTCAATCTTATCAGATTCTGACTTATATGTTCTATACAAGCAATTATAAGATTCAGATTAGAATGATCTGATCTTGAAAATTCTTCAAGATTCATGGTCACTGATTCTTGATAAGAAATCAAGATCCGTCCACTCTGGCTTGAATCAGAAGATTGTTTGAAAGTCATCAATCAAATTACGAAGAATGAGTAACACAAATGTAGTTAAGAAAACACATAAAAAGCTCTAATCCACTATCTATCGAAGTTTCTGCGTTTTATTTACTTCAGCACTTTAAAATTTTTTCTAAAATTACTACGCAAAAAAATATAAGTTCGATACAGTGAGGAAACGCAAAGACAAAAAACCAATTATTTTTTCTCAGATTCTGACTGAAAATCTGAAAAAAATAACTTTCTTAGGAAGAAAGTCCTGAAATCAAGATTCTGTCAGAAATGATCTCAAGATTGTCGACTTGTGCTATTTCTCCGGAAAACATGGAAATGGAAAATATATAATAATAGTTCATAGGCTGACCAGTCAGCACATGAGCAACATATTAAGGCACAAGAGATCGAAATGCTATGTAAAGAAAAAAACGCAAAAGTAAAATTCCGAGCAAACAAAAAGGGTGATAGTAGCAAGCACTTTTTCTAAGCTGCAAGATAGATGTCGCACGAAATCGGTCATCTGTATTGAAGGACATTAAGAAGCGAAGTTTACATAGAGCTAAAGGTACAAGATAACTCATAGAAACACTATTGTAACAGCAACTATTCTTAGCTTCATTTTATTTTCATTTATTAATTAAAATTGTTTCGACGTTTCGAACAACACAGTGTTCATTTTCGGATAATTCCCTTTAGCTCCGCCCACTTTACACAGTAATGACGTGAAGATGAGATATTGAAGATATTGAAGATATTTTATGCGTTTGACTGATTGCAAGATTTAATAATATTTATCTTCATTAGTTCACTATGAATTTCCTCAGTTTTTAATTCAATGTTTCTGTTAATCTGAACATTTCTTTTTCAATTTTTTCCGGTTCATTTTTTGGACATACAATTTTCTATGTTCTTATTTTCAATCCAATAAATTATGTCTAACAATAAATCAGCTTTAATTCCACTCAAACCATTTTCTAGATTAAGTAATTCTTGCTTGTAATCGAATTCTGAAAACTGTAAAAGTTCAACACTTTTTCCAGATTTTTTCCAGAAAAAGAAAAATATTCTTCATTAATTTTCATGCTCTTTGGATTATTATGAATAATTGATTTTCCATATCCATTTGAAAAAACTATTTTTACAGGAAAATAATATTTACAAAGAAAAAGATATTTCTTCCGGATAACACGTTTTGAAATCAAAAAGCTTTTGTATTTTTTTCGAATGCACTTTTATGTCAATATTTTTAATTTTTCATTGTATATTCAATGCGCAATCTTCTTTAATTTTCAAGTAGGCAAACGTTTTTCGATATATCGATAAAATATCGATAAGAAATTCTTAAAACTCTGCTTTTATATAGTTATCGTTTTAAACTGCTTTTAGGGCTTTTACGAAAAATTTCATAACTTTTCAAGGAAGTAAGTCTCGGTTAAAAAGGTTTTGGGAATCTTCCTAAGTACGTTCATTAGTGTGGACAAAGTGTCTAAAGACTAATTCACGAATCGCAATATTTGAGTGTAAACATGATACAATAATTCGCATTTTACCATTGTTTTGGGAATTCGCAGCGAATTCGTAATTCACTGCGAACTGATGAGAACTGACAAAAATTATGAAAAAATAACCAAAAAGATGCCTCTTTTGTTCCTCTTGCCAATTGGTAAACTGGGACGAATTCGTAGGCAAGAAGATACGGGTTCCCACGAATTCGTAAATCGAATTGATCTACTATCAACGAATTCATGAAATGATCTTTTTGGTCCCCAAGAATTCGTAAACTGGCAAAAACGCGAATTTACGAATTCGTCGGATATGCGTTGGCATCTACGAATTCGTAAATTCGCATACTTCTCACCTCAATTCGCCGTTATTTTTACGAATTCGTGAAATGCGAATTGATGTCAAGGACAACAAGCATTTCTATGAGGTTAAAAATAGGTAGATTCGTCTCTTCGCATCAATTCGCCATTACTTTTACGAATTCACAGAATACGAATTGATATCAAGGACAAGGAATATTTCTATGAGGTTAAGAAAATAAAGAATCGTCTTTCGCTTCAACTCTTTCATTCATTCGTCAATAGTTTTTCGCGAAAGAAATCAGAAAGGAAATCTCTCTCCTTTTTGTGTACATGCGCTGGCGGGCGGGGGGGGGGGGGGGGGGGGGGGGGG